AACTTCAGCAAAGTCTCAGGATACAAAATCGGTGTGGAAAAATCACAAGCTTCCTATACACCCATAATAGACAGACAGACAGCCAAATCATGAGTGAACTCCCATTCACAATTGCTACAAAGAGAATAAAATACCTAGGAATACAACTTATAAGGGATGTGAAGGACCTCTTCAAGGAGAACTACAAACCACTGCTCAAGGAAATAAGAGAGGACACAAATAAATGGAAAAACATTCCATACTCATGGATAGGAAGAATCAATATCATGAAAATAGCCGTACTGCCCAAAGTAATTTATAGATTCAATGCTATCCCTATCAAGCTACCATTGACTTTCTTCACAGAATTAGGAAGACCTGCTTTAAATTTCATGTGAAACCAGAATAAATCCTAAGCAAAAAGAACAAAGCTGGAGTCATCATACTGACTGGCTTCAAACTATACTACAAGGCTACAGTAACCAAAACAGCATGGTACTGGTACCAAAACAGAGATATAGACCAATGGAACATAGCAGAGACCCCAGAAATAACACCACACATCTACAACCATCTAATCTTTTACAAACCTGACAAAAACAAGCAATGGGGAAAGGATTCCCTATTTAATAAATGGTGTTGGGAAAACGGGCTAGCCATATGCAGAAAACTGAAACTGGACCTCTTCCTTACACCTTATATAAAAATTAACTCAAGGTGGATTAAAGACTTAAATATAAGACCTAAAACCTTAAAAACCCTAGAAGAAAATCTAGGCAATACCATTCAGGACATAGGCATGGGCAAAGGCTTCATGACTAAAACACCAAAAGCAATGGCAACAAAAGCCAGAATTGACAAATGGGATCTAATTAAACTAAAGAACTTATGCACAGCAAAAGAAACTATCATCAGAGTGAACAGGCAATCTACAGAATGGGAGAAAATTTTTGCCATCTATCCTGACAAAGGGCTAATATCCAGAATTTACAAGGAACTTAAATTCACACACAAAAAAACAATTTCATCAAAAAGTGGGCAAAGTGTATGACCAGACACTTCTCAAAAGAAGACATTTATGTGGCCAAAAAACATATGAAAAAAAGCTCATCATCACTGGTCATTAGAGAAATGAAAATCAAAATGGCAGTGAGATACCATCTCACACCAGTTAGAATGGTGATCATTAAAAAGTCAGGAAACAACAGATGCTGGAGAGGATGTGGAGAAATAGAAATGCTTTTACACTGTTGGTGGGCGTATAAATTAGTTCAACTATTGTGGAAGACAGTGTGGCGATTCCTCAAGGATCTAGAATCAGAAATACCATTTGACCTAGCAATCCCATTACTGGGTATATACCCGAAGAATTATAAATCATTCTACTATAAAGACACATACACACATGTTTATTGCAGCACTATTCATAATAGAAAAGACTTGGAACCAACCCAAATGCCCACCAATGATAGACTGGATAAAGAAAATGTGGCACATATACACCATGGAATACTATGCAGCCATAAAAAAGGATGTGTTTGTGTCCTTTGCAGAGACACGGATAAAGCTGGAAACCATCATTTTCAGCAAACTAACCCAGGAACAGAAAACCAAACACTGCATGTACTCACTCATAAGTGGGAGTTGAACGATGAGAACACATGGACACAGGGAGGGGAACATCACACACTGGGGCCTGTCGGGAGGTGGGGGGCAAGGGGAGGGAGAGCATTAGGAGAAATACCTAGTGTAGATGACAGGTTGATGGGTACAGCAAACCACCATGGCATGTGTATACCTGTGTAACAAACCTGCACATTCTGCACATGTACCCTAGAACTTAAAGTGTAATAAATAAATAATGAAAATAATATTAAAAACAAATGTTGATATATATGTAGGGTACCTCTGGATGGACAGGTGGTAACAGTCCCCTGGGAAAGAAAACTGGAGAACAGGGTGGAAGGGAAAGAATTTCATTCTTTTGTCCCCATGTGTAGGAATTACTTTTCAAGAAAAGAGAAAAAAAATGTGTTTTTGTTTCAGTTTATGCTAGAATTTAACTTTTGGTTCTGAAAAGTCCAGCTATTTACAGTTAAATCATTAAGCAAATAATACATGCCTAGAACCTACTGAATTGAGCTGAGGTTTAAGATTAAATTGTTGTATGTATACCTTGCTGGGTACTGAAGATTAAAGTTATCAATGAAATTATAATAATCACTATTTCTAAAACTGTTATACTCTGTATATATACAGTTATTCTTACAGTCTTTTCATATACAGATGATCCTTGACTTACGATGGGGTTACGTCCTGACAAACCCATGTTAGTTGAAAATATTGTAAATCAAAAATAATATACCTAACCTACTGAATATCATAGTTTAGTCTAGCCTACCTTAAATGTGCTCAGAACACTTACATTAGCCTACAATTGGGCAGAGTCAACTGGAAACACAGAGCATCAATCAAAACTGGAAAACTAGAGCATCAATCCCTATTCTTTTTGGCACTAGGGACCAGTTTCGTGGAAGACAATTTTTCCATGGACTGGGGAGGGAAGAGGGTAGGGGATGGTTTTGTGATGAAACTGCACCACCTCAGATCATCAGGCATTAGATTCTCATAAAGAGCGGCCAACCTAGATCCCTTGCATGTGCAGTTCACAATAGGGTTCGCGGTTCTGTAAGAGTCTATTGCTGCTGCTGATCTGACAAGGTGGAGCTCAGGCGGTAATGCTTGCTCATGCCTGCTGCTAACCTTCTGTGCAGCCTGGTTCCTAACAGGCCATGGGCCAGTACCGGTCCAAGACCCAGGGTTTGGGGACCCCGGCTCTAGAGTATCAGTTATTTACTTGCATGATCATGTGACTGACTGGGAGCTGTGCCTGGCTGCTGTTGTAGAGGATTGTGAGAGAGTATCTTATTACACATTGCGAGCCTGGGAAAAGATCAAAATCCAGAATTTGAAGTGTGGTTTGTATTGAATGCGTGTCACTTTCACACCATTGTAAAGTCGAAAAACTGTATCTCAAACCATCCTAAATTGGGGACCATCTGTATGTGGCTTAAAATGTTTCTTAGCTGTCTGTAAGTTCCCTTGCAGATGCAGCAGTCTTTTAAGCACAGCATATGGTTTTTGCAATTATAAAAATAACATATGCTCCTTATAATACATTTTTAAAATACAGCAAAAGTTAAAGAAGATTAACCAAGTATCCTATATTTTGGTGCATAGCTGAACTTTCTGTAAATATATAACTTTATAAATATAGTTTGTTTAAATTGAATCATACCATGCATACCATTTTATGCCCTGATTTTTTTTCCATTGGTAATATATCTTCTCATGTCAGTATACAGTTAACTATGTGATTTAAAATAGTTGCATCGTATTTCATTGAATAAACATGCCATAATTTATTAAATCAAAAATATTGGTAGATATTTAGGTTATTTGCAGCATTTTGCTGTTGTAAAGAACACTCTAGGCCAGGTGTGGTGGCTCATGCCTGTAATCTCAACACCTTGGGAGGCCAAAGCAGGTGGATCACTTAAGGCCAGGAGTTCGAAACTAGCCTGGCCAATGTGGTGAAACCCCCGTCTCTACTAAAAATACAAAAATTAGCTGGGTGTGGTGACATGTGCCTGTAGCCCCAGCTACTCAGAAGGCTGAGGCCCAAGAATTGCCTAAACCTGGGAGACGGAGTTTGTAGTGAGCCCAGATCGTGCCACTGCACTCCAGCCTGGCTGAAAGAGTGAGACTCTGTCTCAAAACAAAAACAAAAACAAAACAAAGCAAAAAAACACTTCTGTGAATGCATTTCAGAGTATTTTTAAAAATAATTTCTAAAAGTGGTTTTACTGAATCAAAAGCCTTTCTTCTTTTTTTTTTTTTTTTTGAAGACTTTTGATACTTATTACTAAATTTGTGTCCCCCAGGGGTCTTTAAAATATTACCTGAATTTTTCTTTTGAAAATGGTTACAAAAGTGACTCATACATAAAAATTAAAGTGTCTGTGTGACTAACAAGCATATAAAAAATGCTTAATCATTAGAGAAATGAAAATCAAAACCACAATGAGATACCGTCTCATGTCAGTCAGAATGGCTGTTATTAAAACGTCAAAAAATAGCAGATGTTGGCAAAGTTTCAGAGAAATAGGACACTTATACACTGCTGGTGGGAATGTAAGTTCAGCCATTATGGAAAGCAGTGTGGCGATTTCTCAAAGAACTTAAAACAGAAATACCATTCAACCCAACAATCCCATTATTGGATATATGCCCAAAGGAATATAAATCATTCTACCATAAAGACACATGCACGTATATATTCCTCGCAGCACTATACGCAATAGCAAAGTTGTGGAGTCAACCTCAGTGCCCATCCGTGGTAGACTGGATAAAGAAAACGTGGTATGCGTTACACCATGGAATACTATGTAGCCATAAAAAGGAATGAGATAATGTCCTTTGTAGCAACATGATTGGAACTGGAGGCCATAATCCTAAGGGAACTAACATAGGAATAGAAAACCAAATGTTCTCACTTCTAAGTGGGAGCTAAGCATTGATTACACATGGACACAAAGAAGGGAACAACAGACACTGGGGCTTACTTGGCGGTGGAGGGTAGGAGAGAGAGGATCGAAAAAGTATCTGTCAGGTACTATGCTTTTTACCTCGGTGATGAAACAACCTGTACACCAAACCTCTGTGACACACAATTTACCTATATAGCAAACCTGCACATATACCCTGAACCTAAAATAAAACTTAAAAAAATTAAAGTGTCTAGTACATAACTCCCAGTATATTTATTTTAAATCAAAGAGCTGATTATGATTTTGTGTTAATTGTATCTAGAATTTGCATGGTTGTTAAGATGGATCGGAATCTGTTTGCTATGAAGTACGGTCAAAGGGAAATACTTATTTTTTCCCTTTCTTTTCTTTGACAAAGGAAAAACTGTCACCCATAAAAGTCTTTTTTTTTTTTTTTTAAATAACTTACAGGTCAAAGAATTAGAAGAGCAACTAGAAAATGAAACACTCCACAAAGAAATACACAACCTTAAACAGCAACTGGAGCTTCTAGAAGAAGATAAAAAGGAATTGGAATTGAAATATCAGAATTCCGAAGAGAAAGCCAGAAATTTAAAGCACTCTGGTAAAAGCATTGAGTAGGCTACTATGTCTTACTATTAATCTTTGAATTACTCATGCCTAGTACAAAACCTGGCATGTAGTTAGTCTAGAACATTTACTGAATGCTGTGGAAAAATACCAAGACTTGTTTTTAAGTTCCTTAATTTCTAACCATTGCAATTCAGCAGAATAGCTGCTGTATTAAATAATTCACAAATATTTAGACTTCTTTTTTGGACTTAGAGCCCTTATGAACATCATATACAGAATTAAGACACAGAGATACCATTAGCATAGGAGGACCAAACTTTTCAGCATTTTTCAGAGCTTCAGAGCTGAATATTCATTATGTACTTTATTTTGTTCACTTAGAGTGCATTTTTAGAAAGAATTAAACTTTTTAAACATACTATCTTCATCTTTGGTATTCGTACCACCTTCGTCTTTGGTGTCTAATTATACACATGAAATAATACTTTCTATATCGTACCTAACAATGAACTGGGCAACAATATATCTATTAAATGGAAAACCTTTTAAAACACCAGGGGATACTTAAATCAAAAGATTTATTCATTCAGTTCTAGAAGGCTTAACGGGAATGTGCGAGTTAGATTATTATACAGGCATATGTGTAAGTCTCTGTTGGAAAGTCGGTAATTTAGGAAGGCAGGTACATTCCCTTTATAATAGCTTCAATATTCACTTCAGATATTTTTTGGTTAATTTTATACTAGAATTTTGAAACCTATGCAGAAGAACCACGTAGGCCTTTTTTCCTTTTAAAAGCATTCAGTGCTTTCTAATCCACAATAAAAATTGATTATAATTTATTTTTTAATTGATCCAAAATTAAGAAATATTCCATTCTTTTTAGTGAATATCAGAGTAGCCTGTAGCCAAAGCCACCTTTATTATGAATGGAGGAGGCAGACACTGGAAACACATGGGGTTCAATTCTGAATGCCTTTTATTAATACTTAGCATCTGCTGTGTGTGTACCCAGCCCTATCCTTGGATACACTACTTGGAAGGCTGAGACAGGAGAATGGCGTGAACCCGGGAGGCGGAGCTTGCAGTGAGCTGAGATCACGCCACTGCACTCCAGCCTGGGCGACAGAGCAAGACTCCATCTCAAAAAAAAAAAAAAAAAAAAAAAGAGACAGAAGGAAAAGGAACCATGCTTTTTGTCTTCAGAGAACTCAGATTCCTCTTGGAGGGATAGGTGCATACACATGAAATGACCAGTGGATTCTCAGTTTTGGAGAGCATAGCCCACACTGCCTATTTAAGTGTTGAGGGTAAATACAAATGGACAGATCCTTGGGGTACACTTAGTTGGGGAAAGTGGAATGGCTGTGGACGGGGAGAGCTACCTCTGAACGCCAACAGTATGCAGCACCTTTTACCCATTATCTCATAGGTGTTAGCATCTGTGCTATAAACAAGTTCAGTTCCTTGAAGTCAGGTGTTATGTCTCCTGTAGCACCATTCATAGGCACTTTGACATCGTTGGTGCTTCCTAAGTAAAATGCCTGCTTCATGAAAGACTTGAAGGAATATGGTGCATTTCCAGAGATATCTTCAAAAGAGCAAAAAGTTTCTGAGTTACAGATTTAGGAAGCTGAATCTGGTTAAAATCAAAGAGACTAGTATTTGCAGTTTTTGAAGGAAATTAAGCAGGGGAGAGAAGTATGCAGTTATTAAAATTCATTACTAAATGTCGTGTTTAAAATTAATTCTTGGTCTGTATACTTTTAAAGTCAAGTATTAACAATTTCTTAGTGTTTGAGTAATATACTTCATTGTTAACAAATATTTCTTCAGCCTACTCACTTCTTCCTACCCTTCAGCCATTGTTTTGAATGTTTTTTCTTTTCTAAAGTTGTATATACAGCAAAAAGATAACATTTAATATTGATAGATGGGAGTCCTCTCTTGCATTAGCAATAGACTAGATAGTGAAAAGTTTAAAAAGGTCTGCAATTTCATATTGAAATTTTTTATTTTGCCTTAATAAAAAGAACTTACTTTTGAGAAAGGTGATGTTCTGTCTTTCACATGTATAAACAATGTTTAGTTGCTTGTTTCAGCTCTCTTCTGAATACTTGCTCTCTGTGCAGTTGATGAACTCCAGAAACGAGTGAACCAGTCTGAGAATTCAGTACCTCCACCACCTCCTCCTCCACCACCACTTCCCCCTCCACCTCCCAATCCTATCCGGTAAGCATATCCAGGAAGACTGCTCTGCATCAAATGTTCTTCCCCATCAGATTGTGCCATGAGAGGAGCCATATTAAAAGCATGAAAGATACTAGCTGATGCTTTCCTTGGAAATTTTTCTAAAGGCCAGTGATATGGTTTGGTTGTGTCTCCACCCAAATCTCCTCTTGAATTGTAGCTCCCACAATTCCCACGTGTCATGGGAGGTAATTGAATCATGAGGGTGCATCTTTCCCATGCTGTTCTCATGATAGTGAATCTCATGAGATCTCATGGTTTTATAAAGAGGAGTTCCCCTGTACAAGTTTTCTCTTCCCTGCTGCCATGTAAGATGTGACTTGCTTCTCCTTGCCATCCGCCATAATTGTGAGGCCTCCCCAGCCATGTGGAACTGTGAGTCAATTAAACCTCTTTCCTTTATAATTACCCAGTCTCAGGTGTATCTTTGTTAGCAGCATGAGAATGGCCTAATAAGCCAATATATTATTCCCTTTTTGTAATATATAAATTTCATTCAATAACATTAAGATTTCCTTTAATAGTAAGAACAAGGAATTTTGAGCTTCTCCAGAATGTGTTTACTTTCCTGTCTTGCTAATTCGAATTTGAAAAGCTCTGGTTTGTTCAATTATTTAAAAAATAAAAATACTAAATGAAAATGTAAACATACTAATTGTTATGAACTAGTAATTAAACTAGAAGTATTAATTACTTTTATCCCTCTCCTCATATTTATACCTTTAGGAAGGCTAAGAGAGGAGCCTTCCATAAGAAAGATAAATTATGTTTAAATTCTTGTGATAGGAAGTCACATATGCAGACAGGAATTCGTATTTTCTGAAGCCCAAAGTGACATGATGGCATTATGTATGTCATTTGAGCACAATACACACTAGGAGATTTAGAGTCAAATTTTGCCTTCTTTATGGTTCCACATGCCACCATCCAGAATTACATAAGACAACCTCCTTGCCAAGGTGACAATGTATGTGCTCATGTCATGATGTTAGCTGCTTTTGTATAATTTATTCTTTAATAAATGGCATTTAAAAACCTTTGCTAGTTTTTTTTTTTTTTTTTTTTTTTTTAACCTTTCATTAACTCATGTGATTTGTTTAATCCTTTCACACAGAGAGGCCATTTATTCATACTTTGCACCTTTGCTGATCCATCTGAATAGAATGTGTAGCATGTTCCTCCCACACGACTATGAAAATGGGACTTTGCCTTTTAAAAAGAGTCTCATTAGTTTTCCTTACTGAGTGGGGTATGACATAATCTACTTTAAGCCATTGAAGTAGTTAAAGCAAAATAATTTTTACACGTGATAGAGCCAAGAGTCAATTGAAAGAATTTCAGGTATTTTAAAATCTTTCTCTCCCGGGTAGCTAAATCTGTAGGAGATATTCTGGATTTGACATTTAAAATTAGAAATTCATCACTTTGATCTTTCTCTAAGGTCTGGGATTTTGAGCTGATAAGAAAGGTCACTTCTGTCCACGAAGAGCGAGAACGATTAAAAAGTAATTACAGTCTTGCTGGTGGCCTTTAATTTTTATTCTCAGAAGTGTTGAGAGCCCCTAGAATTAGAAGTAAAGTATAACCTAAGTTGAATTTTTTTTCCCAAAGAGCACTTTACAGTTACACTGAGCAATGAATGTTCAGGACTATTTGTGTCTCAAGTGTGAACTCTTTTATAAGGCTCTTTAAAGAAAATTTTATTGAATAATATGATTTTTATTTTAAGATGAATTTAAATAGTATAGGACATAATTTTTGAAAGAAAAGAGGTTTTTTTTTGTGAGGAGTGCTTTCTTGCCAAAGAGGTATATTTGCATATGTATTGAGTTTGAGTGGATTTTGTATTCACAAATCAAAGTTTTCTAACTTTGTTCCTGACCCATTTGTTTTATCCTGATGTAAATCATGGTTAGAAATGAAAGCGGGAAGAAAAAAAAAAAGACTGGGGCCTGTGGCTTTTTTAAGTGGCCTTACTGCTTTTCCCTTCTCTTCCCACTCATTTGACTCCAAGAATAGGTAGAAGAAAGAGGAAGAAGGCAAATCTTGGTCACTTTGTCCCAGTGGCAGTGAAAGTAGGACAGGTTTTATGCAGATATAGTTCGTGGGGAGAGGGTTGAGGCTATTGTGTTTTTTTTTAGAGAAACAGAACATGTATATCTGTAGATACAGATATAGGCAGATATAAATACAGATTTATTATAAGAAATTGGCTCATGTGATTATGGAGGCTGTCAAGCCCTAAGATCTGTAGGGTGAGTTGGCAAGCTGGACAGCCAAAAGAATCAGTGGTGTGGTTCCAGGCTGAGTCTAGGGGCCTGAGAACTGGGAGAACCTATGGTGTAGTTTTATTCCAAAGTTTGACAGGCTCCAGACCCAGGAAGTGGCAGTGTTTCAGTTCAAGTTCGAAAGCAAGAAAAAGCCAATAACCCAGTTTGAAGGCAGTCAGGCAGGAGGAAGTCCCTGTTAGTTGAGGGAGGATCAGCCTTGTTGTTCTAATTAGGCCTTCAAATGATTGGCTGAGGGCCACCTACCTCAGGGAGGACCATCTGCTTTACTCAGTCTACTGATTGAAATGTTAATGTCATCCACAACATCCTCATGGAAACACCAGAATCGTGTTTAACCAAGTATCTCTGGCCCAGTCAAGTTGACACACAAAATAACTATCACAGTGGCCATGACGGACACTTGAAAAACTAACAGGTAAAGGTTGGGCGTGGTGGCTCACGCCTGTAATCCCAGCACTTTGGGAGGCCGACGCGGGCAGATCACAAGGTCAGGAGATCAAGACCATCCTGGCTAACAAGGTGAAACCCCGTCTCTACTAAAAATACAAAAAATTAGCTGGGCATGGTGGCAGGCGCCTGTAGTCCCAGCTACTTGGGAGGCTGAGGCAGGAGAATGGCAGGAACCTGGGAGGCAGAGCTTGCAGTGAGCCAAGATCGCACCACTGCACTCCAGCCTGGGCGACACAGCAAGACTCTGTCTCAAAAAAAAAAAAAAAACCTAACGGGTGAAAATTCTCCACTGAAATGTTCCGTCTTGGGATGACACGTGCCTGAAATTTTATTCATTCAATTGAAATGACAGTGAAATGGGGCAGTGATGGCCAGAGGTTTGAGTATGGGTCCCAGATGTCTTGACCTAATCTCCTCTGGCCTGTGAGTCCTGCCTTGCCTGTAGTGTGAGTCCCATCTTGACTGTTGGTTTTAATATTGCAGTGATTTTCCTCTGAGCACTGTATGTCTATAGCTTACGCTTCAACTCAGAATCCTTTATGCTAACGCTTTCTGTTATCTAGGTGGTTTATGCTAATAAACAGGTATTATTCTTCACACGTGTAAATATATATATAAGTACTCTGAGCAGTAAAAATAAATTCCTGCTTCATCATCTTTATGTACAATAATGTACACTTGCAAAATTTCCTCGCAGAACCAGAGGCGAAGTCAGTGCAGAGTGTGGTGCGAGGGTAAGGTGAGACATCTGATTAGTGAGACCCATCCTCACACCCAGCCCACCATGGAGTGGTAACAAGTAGATTCAGCTGACAGAATGGCAAATTGAGCAAGTAAAGTTTATTTTATTCTTTATAACTTCTAGAATAAAATGTATTTCAAAGTTCTATGTAAATTAGAATTTCTAACTTTTGTGAAAATAATTTAATTCCATTTGGCCATTGCAAGCCCAAAGAAGAGAAACTAGACAAAGTCAGAAGCTCCGTGATTGGTTCCCAAGCTAGATAGAGCAGGATGTGTTTTTTTCTTTCTACTGTGCTGTATGGGAGATTATCCAGTGAGTCTGTGAATTTTAAGAAAAGGCAATTAGGAAGGGGATTAATAATATAAACAAACGTAGAAGTGAAAAGTTTAAAAAGCTAGAAATTATAATGATTAAGAAACTGGAGGCTGGGCACAATGGCTCACGTCTGTAATCCCAGCCTTTTGGGAGGCCAAGGCAGGAAGATTGCTTGAGGCCAGGACCAGCCTGGGCAACATGGTGAGAACCCTCCAAAAAAATTAAAAAACATTAACCAGGAGTGATGGTGTACCTGTAGTCCCAGCTACTCCAAAGGCTGAGGCAGGAAGATCACTTGAGTGCAGGAGATCAGAGCTGCAATGAGTGGTGATCGTGCCCTGCACTCCAGCATGGGCAACAGAGTGAGACCCCGTCTCAGGAAAAAAAAAAAAAGAATAAAAAAGAAGCATTGGGTGGTGATATCTTCTGAACAAGCGTTACTCTGTATATCCATTTGCCCCTTTTCCTAAGGGCAACATTATGCCTTTCTTATCCTCCAAGTATTTGTTTTCTATTGCTGGACTGTTCTGCAAATACAGTTCACCACACTGAGTTCATTTATGATGCAGCTGAAGGAATTCAAAAATTATTGATTCACTCGTGTTTTGGTAAGCATTTTATGGAGGAAATGTTAATATATGCAGATATGTACACAAGCCAATGTACAGTTTTAAAATAATGTTAAAGTGAACATCTGTGTAATCACCCTCCAAATCAAGAAATAGGCAATACTGGCACCCTAATTCTTTCCTTTGATCGTTTTCCAAAGATAAGCACCTTTCTCTCTAATCACTATCTTTTATGGTGATCATTTCCTTGCATTATTGAAGAAAAATTTTCCTGCCTAACATGTATCCCTAAACTACTGTAAATATCTGTATGGCTTGGTTTTGAACTTTATATAATTGGAATTTTCATGTATCATTGTGGTCTTGCTCTTTTTAGTCTACATTATTATTTTTATTTATTTATATATGTATTTTTTTTTTTTTAGATGGAGTTTCGCTCTTGTTGCCCAGGCTGGAGTGCAGTGGTGCGATCTTGGCTCACTGCAACCTCTGCCTCCCAGGTTCAAGCGATTCTCCTGCCTCAGCTTCCCAAGTAGCTGGGATTACAGACACCTGCCACCACGCCCAGCTAATTTTTTCATATTTTTAGTAGAGACAGGGTTTCACCATGTTGGCAAGGCTGGTCTCGAACTCCTGACCTCAGGTGATCCGCCCACCTTGGCCTCCCAAAGTACTGGGATTGCAGGTGTGAGCCACTGCTCCCAGCCTACTCTATGCTATTGTGTAAGATTCATCTGTTGTGTAGCTTAAGTCCATTCATATTCACTGATATCTAATTCACTTTATGAAAGTCTCAGAATGTACTTATCCATTGTGGTGCTGATGGACATTTGAGTTATTACCAGTTCTGGGGAATTACGGAAATTCTTCATGAGCATTCTTGTTCATGTATCCCGGTGCACAAGTGCTTGCCTTTCTGTAGGATATGTGGCAGTGGAATCACTGGCTCATAAGATACATATATTTTTTACTCTACTAGATAATTACAAAGAGTTTTCCAGAGTGGAATGTACTATTAATTTATATATCCTCTTTGGTTTGAGAACTTCTGTTACTCCACAGACCCACTAACACTTGATATTACCAGATTTATTTTGTCTGTTTGCTGAATGTATAGTGATATCCCAGCGTGGGTTTGTGTTTGCCTAATAGCTAATGAAGTCAAGCACCTCTTTTGTATATGTGTTGGAAATGTGGACATCTTTTTTGGAGTTGCAAGGTTCTCTTCCATTTTGAATTATGCGCTTTTTCTCATTGACCTGTAGAATTTCGTTATATATCCTTGTCTTTTTATTCTGCATATCAAAGGTTATACAATTTTAGTATAGTCAAATTTATCATAATTTGATTTTACATAGATTTGTTTTTAAATGGGCCAGAGAGAGTGGTGTAAATATGTTTTATCCTTAAGTATTTGGTCTACATCATGTGGATTCAGATGTTTTTATACCCATAGTTCACAAACAGGTATGTACTGATAACATACACTTCTTACTATGAAACACTCCCTAATTCTTTCATTCTTCTCTCCCCCCAACATAGTACATAGATAACTATTTCTGAATTTTATATATATGTGTATTGACATTTTTTGTCTCTTTTCCTTTGTTAAGTCTGTATGCATTTTACTATTAGTTATAGCAGTGTACTTTCTCCAATAATTAGTTTGGTTTTATATTGAAGAGGATGAGATGTGTTTCTCTTCTGTAAAGTGATGAAAACTTTATTATTATTAAAAATGGAAAGTAGACGACTTAAATTGTAGTTGTATATTCATGCACCTACCAAAGAGTGAGATTTTTACTGATTATTTAGGATCTAGGTATCCAGTAATCTCCTGTTGATCTTTTTCTTTCTCCCAAAGATCCCTCATGTCCATGATCAGGAAACGATCCCACCCCAGTGGCAGTGGTGCTAAGAAAGAAAAGGCAACTCAACCAGAAGCAAGTAAGCATCACTTCCATTGGTGTAAGTGCTTGACGGTGTACAATTTGGGGGCAATTCACGTGTTTGTTAAGTTCTTTGACAATAAACATGTCGTTGTATAACATTTATAGTATAAAGCACTGAACAGCTATAAGAATGAACCAGTGACCGTCATTGCCTTCCTGTAGTTTATTATCTAGAGGAGATAAACACGCACACCTCACTATAATGAGAGACATACTGGCAAATAGATTTTCATTAAAGGTCAGGGTACCTTGGAGTGTGCTGGAGAGAGAGGGAGTAATTCCAAATGAGGGATTTGGGGCAAGACTTCTTAGAGTTGGTAGCAAGTGACCTGGGACTTTATCAAACACTTAGTATGTACTACTCCACTGTTGTGTGCTGGAGATACACGATGTAGAAGTTACATTCTAGTGTAACTAGGCAGGAAGTAAACAAGTAAATATGTAATTATTTAAATACAATTAAGGAGGAGTACACGGTGCTAAGAGATAGTGGAAGTGGACTGCTGGTGTCTGAAAGTGATGTTCAAGCTGAGTAATTGCGCCTTCAGAACACTGGGTGAGTTGGGTGGGTGGTGTTTAGGGTAAAACCATTTCAAATAGAGGAGCAGCGGATTCAAAGGTCCAAAGTGTCCAGGAAGGAACTTGGTATATTAGGAAACTGAAAGAAAGTTGATATGACTGGAACATGGTGGCCAAGAGAGGAGGTCTAATAGGTAGGCAGGAGCCAGATTCTGGAGGTCAAGGTCAAGATTCTGGAATTTCTCCTAAGAGCAGTAGAAGTTTTAAGCAGAGGTATAACATGATGAGAATTGTCCTTAAAAAAAATCGCACTGGCTGCAGTGAGAGAACAGACTGTAAATGGATGGGAGTGGATGAGGGAAGACTATTGCAGCCATTCAGATGAATGTTGATGGTAGCTTCGATGAGGGTGGTAGCAGCAGGGGTGGAGAGACATGCATGAATTCAGGAACTATTTAGGGAGGTAAAATTCACAGGACTCTGGTTCACTGGAGATAGAGATATACAGGACAATGATTAGATGGGACTGGAGGGAGAAGGGCCCTCCTGTTGAGCAGAGCCAGCAAGTGGCTAGATGCACTGGAGTCAGTTTGGTGTGCACCCACAGCAAAGGCTTAAAACAAGGGGGCCAGATCTTCGTCCTCTGTGCCTGCTGTTATAACTCCATAGCCTCCATGCAGATTCGGGGCAGATAGCTGCTGTGTTCCAGACTCTTCGAACACATGAGTAGCTCATTACCATGCATTGTGACAGCATTTTGCTTTAAATTCTGTTACTTTAAGGATTTAATGTCCCACTCCCTACCTCTACTCTGGCTGTGGTGTTTGAGTCATTTCCACCTCCTTCCCCTGAGCAGATTGCAAGCTCTTTGAGGGTTTACTCTTCTCGGCAGCATCCCCCTGCTTTCATGCATATTGAATGAATTGAAGTTTGGACTTGGTTTTTTGTCTCTTAGCAGGAATCTTGCAGCACCATTACAAATGAAAGCTGATTTCGTCTCTAAGAATTGGCTTTCTGTGCCTGCCTTCTGCAATCCTTTGGACTCTATTCCTCTGTACATTAATGGGGCTGTAAGGCAAATTCTGCATTGCACAAGGCATTGCAGGATTCTGAAGCAGTTCCGCCTTTGGTGATTTGCTGGGCAGCCCTGCTTTTGGGTTACTGGCTGTTAGCATTTCCTGATGCTGTAATTTAAATTTTGTTTCAATTTTTTCGGGGGAGACAATTGGTATATCTTAGAGGATTGGGGGGAAATTGGAATAAATGAATTTTCCTTCCAAGTAAATCACATCATCAACTTGTCAACTTCGATAGCACCTTAAATTAAAAAGAAAAATTATTCTAAAGTTTCTTAACCCCCAATTTTAGGAACTATACAGTTTTTCTTACAAACAATGATATTTATTTATAATTCATGAAATGTGACAGTATTTTCTCGCACATCCTCGGGCTACTGGATTGCTATTTTGGGATTCTAAGTAGAGTTACCAAAATAGAAGTTGTTCTTGAGATTTTTAGACTGGAGCAACCCTAAAAATCATACAGCCTTGAATAATGCATACTGTACTCACACGTGGCTGAAGCAGTACCCTCTTTCTATCTGGCAAGGCAGTTATTTATAGTGTCTTGTTAATAGATCACACTGAAAAAATAGTTGTTGAGTGAATAAATCAATGATTAAATGCATGATGAATTAATGTCAAGCATCAAACATTGGAATTCTCTGTGACACTTTGGGGTTTGCATTTATAACATAGTGACTTGTCTCACATTCACTGTGTTTTCTTTCTTAGGTTAGCATCTTACGATGGCTTTAACTTACAGTTGACGAGGTTTTCAGAGTTTATAAGTAAAGGAACGTTTACTCCTTACTTACGGCTCTAAAAAACTTCATTGTAAAGAAAGACTGCAGAATATTTTATAGATAGTTTTAAGAATTGAATGTAAGAGATCATTATACTCTGGAGATAATAACTCTGATTTTGACAAGAATGTATTTATTAGGCTGGATTTCAAAAGTATGCCTACTGTTAATCATACATTCAGGTCATTCATTTGTTGGTATTTTCTTACTTTGCTGTGCCTTGATTTGCTAATCTGTAGAATGGGGATAATAGTACTTCCTATTTCACAGGATTGTTGTGAGAATTAGTGAGTCTCACTAGGTGAAAAGTGTTTAGAGTAGTATCCATCACAGAAAATACTCATAATGTTGCCATGAAAAAACATGGAAAGGGTACAGCCATCAGTTGGGAGGGACAAAGGGAATCCTAATCCCACAGGTTCTTGTGATTATTGTAGCTAAGGAAATTTCTTTAACTTTATGACCTGATGTCAGATTTGAACTTAATTCAACTATAATATATTCTTTAGAAATTTGGTACATCATGGTGGCATAAGAATTTTTTTAAATTACCTTAAAAAAAAAAAAAGTTAGTGAAATAGTAATCCTGTGGAATTTGGAAATTCATTTTTGTTTCTTTGAGGTAATAACAGAAGGTTTTATTTAGTAATCAGGTGATGGTTTTGTCTGTGGTGGTTTTTTTTTTTTTTTTTTTTTAAGGAACTAACTCATTTTTCAAGTGGATCTTAAAATTTAAGCCCCAGTTAATTACATGTAGCTTTCTGATCCAAGACTGACCTTGAAGCACTAACTCAAAGAGCATTTGATTTTATTTTCCTGTGGCAGTTCAATAACATTAGACCTGTTGTCTTCATTTGTCCCTTTTCTTTAATCTCCAGTATCCTGCATATTTCTATTGTCCCCTTGATTACATGCTTTTGTGAGACAATTACCAACTGTGTGATTGCAGAAAGAATTACAAAACATACCATGAGCTCTCTGTAGGTGATTCTTGCAGATTTATTAGAACTGCTTAATAGTTTAGAAGTTCATATAGATTGCTTTTTGCTAGTTCAAAAACAGGGTCGTCAAGAGAGAAAGCTTGTGTGGCTAACCTCGCATTGCTCTTGTATTGCGCCTGAGTAGGGAATCTGATAAGAATGATTTCTTTTCCTTAAAACCAATTCAGCCTTTACATTTGAAAAAGACTGAGAAATTAAAGCCTGGTTTATAATCTGTACACAATACAGATAGTGGCACGTCTCTGAATTATCACTATGATTCTGGCAAGCAAATATAAGAAACTACTTTAAATTCCTGCTATGTTAGATGCTGTAGCAGATTTGAATGGTGTTGGCCATAATTCTCCATCTGTCTGCCTTAATTAGTTTTTGTATGGTGCATTTAATTGGGTTTCAGTCATTCCTTACAGAGTGCTAATCTGTTTGTAGGCGATGTTCCTATTACCATGCAGCTCTTCCTAGACTCAAAATGGCAGACTTTCTGAAAAATCAAATGTTTTAAAAATGTATTTTCTATGGTGAAACCCCATCTCTACTAAAAATACAAAAATTAGCTGGGCGTAGTGGCACACGCCTGTAATCCCAGCTACTCGAGAGGCTGAGGCAGGAGGATTGCTTGAACCTGGGAGTTGGAGGTTGCAGTGAGCCGAGATCGTGCCATTGCACTCCAGCTCTGGGCAACAGAGCAAGACTCCTTGAGGCTGCAGGAGCGAGATCGTGCCACTGCACTCCAGCCTGGGCAACAGAGTGACTCCATCTCAAAAAAAAAAAAAAAAAAAAAAAAAAAGTATTTTCTAGATTCTCAGGAATAAATCCCACACCCATACCAGATGCTTGGATGGCAGATCTGGGTTTTATCTCCCTGGGTTTTGAATAGGGTCAGCAAAAGCACTGTGTAGTTCACAACACATATGCAGATATTGAGTGAGTGAGTGAGTGAATGAAGGAATGAATGATTGAATGAATGAATGAATTTCTACCCATCATAATTTACTTATCTGTTCCTTTGTTGATGTTTGTGAGCCATCAGAAGAAGCTGCCCAAGAAAATGCTGCTTAAGGGCACATGATTGATCAACCCACAGTTTAGTCATCTTTCATTTACTGGTAGATGAGTTCTAACTTTGGTGATCATGTTTCCCATGTTGCTTGGCAAAAGATACTTGTTTTGACTTCTGGATCTGAAAACTGTTGTTTAGATGTTGAGAGACTTTAATTCTCAGCATTTCAGCGGCTTCTGAGGTTGACAATTCTCTCTGAAGTTAGGACGGTATCAAAATCTAGGTTATACAGTGAATATGGCAGTGATCCCTCTTTGTGGACTTGTAGAGATGAGGATAATGGAAACTTCTGGTCTCTCTTAGTTGCTCCCCTAGGTACTTACACAAGAGGAATGGCTACCCAGGGTTGAAATGGAGTCTGGCCTTGTAGCAGAAAAAGAAGCCATAATAAGGCCTCCCTTATTGCAAAGCCCGATACTGGAGCTAATTAGCTTGGGGATGCAGTAGTGATTGCCTGCATTTAGAAGCCAGCCTTTTGGGGTTTAGTCATTTCTACTCATATCGTAAAGACATTAGTAGCCATTTAAAGCAGAAACTTCAGAAGCCAATAGTCAGTAGAGACTTGTTGAGTGCCCACCATATTGCCAGGCAGTGTAGAGTCTATTAAAGACGATAATTGGAAGGTCCCTATGAGATAAACTCAAATATGTAGGCTGCAGTGAGCTAGATGGAGGTAAACACAAGACCTAGAACTGCATTAATGGTGATAAATGTTCTGAAATGGTTCTGTGATTTTGCTCAAGCTATTCTACAAGAGAGACATTTCACTTTTCTGATCAACAGGTTTAAGTTCACCTCAGTTACATTCATCCAATTGATACACATCTCCACCTTTTTTATTTATGTATTTTTTTTTTTTTTTGCAGCAAAGTAGTGGCAAGTTTAAACAATAGATAGTTGAATTTTAAAATCAAATGTAATTACTTAATTGCAATTATTGCTACATGTGTTTCCTTTTAACAGTGACAATTTAAAAAGACTTGAGAAAGGTTTGCTTAAATGTTTCCTTTCCATATGATTCCTAAACAAAAGATGGCAATTTAAAAATAGATTTTATTTACTTGCTGTTTGTCTTTTGACTATAGACTTATTCCAACAAGAAAAACATCTATTTCATCTTTTTTTCCCCTAATGGATTTCTGGTAGTTGTTTCTTTTTTGGGCTGATTTCTTTGACATAGGATGTACAGTAAGTTGTAAAAACATCTTTGAGACAAAGATTATTTGGGATTAGGCACAAAGTTGGGATTTTAAAGACCTGGAAAAATGTTGACAAATGAACAAAGTCTACTTTGTTGACAGAGGCAAGACAATACTGACTTGGATCCAGGCTACAGATTTTTATAACTCTTATTTTTCTGATCAGATTTTTTTCTGTAAAAATTTTTCCTTTAAATGTTGCTACCTGATAGCTATTAACTTTAGTAAATTTTTAGTGTTCTGCAACTGTGAATGAAAAATGACCGTGATTAATTACATGGTGTAATTTTTCCAAGTCACCAAAAAATAGGAAGTAGCTGTTTTCTTGTAACATAAGAGGATTTATGTATGTGTTCTTTGAACAGCTGAAGAAGTCACAGATCTAAAGAGGCAAGCAGTTGAAGAGATGATGGATAGAATTAAAAAGGGAGTTCATCTTAGACCCGTTAATCAGACAGTCAGACCGAAGACAAAGGTATGGAGTGACTAAATGCTTTTTTCCCTGCTTGATATTTCCTTTTTTAAATGTACAGATTTGAAATTTGATGAAAACTGCATCAGGACCCACTGTCAAATCTTAGGATAAAGCTAATGTGTCACAAAAACTTTTACTTCCACATAAGCATGTTTCAGGAGGATCCACGGTGAACCTAAATCAGTATAAAATGGAAGCCATCTTATTTTGGGGGTGCTGTCGCCTCATTACGAGAGACACTGATATGAACTGTTACACCAAACAAATAACAATGATCACATCCTTTCTTTTGATTCCTGATTCTTTTGTGTGATTCTACTGATTATCTACTATGCGCCAGATACTGTTTTAGGCACGGGGGATAAAGTAGTGAATAAAATAGGCAAAAACCCTCGCCTTTCTGAGGCTTCTATTATAGTGGACGGAATCGCATAATAATAACAGCAGAACAAAACCAGGACAACTTTGGGGAAAATAGTGAGACTTATATGATTGTTTTTCATTAATTTCACAAATGTTTTCCAAGTCACCTCAAGGAGAAAAACTCTCTTCTAAACTAGACCACAGCGAGTGCTCCAGGATCTGTGAAGGCGCCTAGAGTCCCTTTCACGATATCTCCCCTGCCTTTGTTTGTGTATCTGTTACGTTTCAATAAGCCCAATAATAGTTTTAAACATTTTTCTTGAAAAATATTCTTTCTCCCCTCTAATTAGGTATGAACTGACCGGTTCTTTCTCTTCTTCCACTTCCCCTTCTTCCTTCCCCTTCTTCACTCACCTTTATGGTTTGGTTATTTCTCCCTCTCAAGGCTGCCCTGCCTCAACTGCGTGAACGTCCCCCAGTGTTATGACTGTTCAGTACACATTCTGAGGGTTTTGTCTTTTTTTCTTTTTTCTTTTAGACGGAGTCTCACTCTGTCACCAGGCTAGAGTGCAGTGGCGCAATCTCGGCTCACTGCAGCCTCTGCCTCCCGTGTTCAGGCGATTCTTCTCCCACCGCCTCCCAAGTAGCTGGGACTACAGGCGCCCGCCACCAAGCCCAGCTAATTGTTGTATTTTTAGTAGAGACGGGGTTTCGCCATGTTGGCCAGGATGGTCTCGATCTCTTGACCTCGTGATCTGTCCGCTGTGGCCTCCCAAAGTGTTGGGATTATAGGCGTGAGCCACCACACCTGGCCTCTGATGGATTTTCAAAGTTGCCACTTTGTCACAGGCAGGCAAAATAGCCATGTAAGGCGAGAGGGGCTATGGTGTGGGCTGTACGTGGGAAAGGATTGGAAAGAGGAAAAGAATACTCAACTCCAAGAGTAAATTTACATCTAAGGAAACAGAAGCTTCAGCCAGCCACGTAAAATAGTTCAGTCTTGTGCCAGTGATCTGAAAGCAGTTTTCTAAGTAAAGGATGAAATGTAAAAGTGGAGGAGAAGCTGAGTGTGTAGAATGATCTGGCACAGCTGGCCCAGTGCTGGTGTCTGGCAAGAGAGTGAAGAGCAGAGCTGTTGGAGTTGGGCCCTGGCACTGTCACCCAGCTTCCCCACACTTCTTCTCTTCAAGATGGGGACAGCACCTGTCTTATCTGACACATGGGGTTGTTGTCAAGATCAAATGGAATAAAGTGTGAAAATACTTTAAAATGCAAGGTCTGAGTGCCACCTTTGAAAAAGAATCCATTTTTATGACTTTCACATCACCACTAATTATGGAAAGAATAAGCAAAACTAAACTATTACTAGAGAAAAACGCAATGCCATAAAGAAGCAAAATTAGTTTCGAAACAAAAAGGTTGAAAACTTCTTAAATCATAAGCAATGTTCCATACATACTTTCATTTTCAGAATATCACTTTGTGCTTTTTCTTTCTTCCCATGACTCTTCCTGCAGTTACACATTATTTAATGTCAATTCAAAATCTGGGAAGCAACTGAGCAAGGATCAGTGGACGACTGGGTTTTCTTGCTGGTAATCTTAAACTGTGCAGATATAGTGCTGAATGACCTGGTCAATAACCTTTAAAACAAATGGTCGCTGCATGCTTGAGGACAGACGTCTTCCCCTAGTACCATCAGGGCTTTCCTGAAATGTCACAGATGGTGACATTTTGTGGTCCAGGGTGCAAAAGGCTTGTGCAATCAGAGGGCAGCCTGAGTGGCATGGCAGCACTTTCGGGTATGCCTAAAGGCAGGGCATTTGTTTGAACATCACAGCTTATCACCTGAAGGGTTGACCTGCAGAAGTCAAGCCTGCCTTGAGAATATTAATGTAACCGCTTATTTTCTAAATTCCTTTGGTGGTGGTGTTGGTGCCAGTGTGGTTGAAATTAGTGTCTTAGTGCTTACTGACTGGCACTAAGGGCATGTGTATTTCACAGAAAATCTGCGCTATGAGAGCTGAATGCCTGAGCTTTGCACATGAGCAGAAAACCTCTCTCTCTCTTACTTCTCTGTTTTTAAAATTTGAAGTAGGATCTTATTTTTCAATTCTGTTTTTGAGAGGAAGGGATTATAGTATGCTATTGATTCACTCTCATTTTTTGATGAGAGAGACTATAACCTCACCTCTTCTCCAGGAATAAGAGGCTCAAGGGGTTCCTTTCACTGTGTCTGGCAAGTTTCCCCTTCATCTCTATCCTTCGTGAAAGGAAGTGGTGCGAGGGAGATCAGAAGTCTTTTCTGAACTTACTTTCATGAGGTTCTCATGCGAAATTTTCCCTCCATTAATTAGTTGAGTGATCTACAGAGACCGTTAGGTTTTGTGGGGCAGGCAAATCATACCCAGAATTTTACTTCAAATCGTTTTGTCCGTGGTATGGCCAGAAGAGAGCTGAGCTTGTAATCAAGACACCTAACTCAAATACTACCTTGCTTAAACCTGACTTTCCCTCCAAGATGAGTGACTGGACTACACCTCCTCTGAGGTCTGTGACTGCTCTGGCAGCCAGCCATGCTAACTTTCTCCTGTAGCCAGGTGCTTTGCTGGACCCTGCTCTCTGGACTCTGTCCTCTTGGGAAATTCTTACATGCCAGGCCCCTGTAAGCTGACCTCCTCCCATAGCTTGTGGAGCTGAGAGAGGGTTTCTGCCCTGTGGCTTGCTTCTGCTCTGCACTGCCTTCTTCCTAGTCCCTGCTTGCTGGCAGAGTCCAGCAATGCCGGTGGAGAACAGTTTACTGTAAGAAGCTCTGAATAATTTGGAATCAGACCTTTAAAATCTGATGTTTACCAACTCTTCTCTATGATAATAATCAAGAGGTAACAATATGGTATTTAGAAGAGGGTAGCTTGTCTCCTTTTGCTTTGAATATAACTTCTTCTTTTTTGTTTAACTGCTACTTGAGAGCACTAACATGGCTAGTATTTTTTCCTAACCTTAAGACATAGACCTAATTTAAAAATATACATAGTCATATATATTACCAATATAAGGCTACTAATACTTTGCCATGTAAAAATCATTGTTTAGTATCTTAAAACTGAATTACTCAGTAATTTTTCTTTCTTTTTAAAATTATAGCCAGAATCTTCTAAAGGCTGCGAAAGTGCAGTGGATGAACTAAAAGGAATACTGGTAAGAATAGATTTCGGTTTATTGTTTAGCTAATGGGGAAATGAAAGGGGAGTATTTTAAAATCTGTTGTTTTGTGAGTTGTTTGTGGTGTGTTTTATTCCCATTTACAATTAGCCTCGTCTTTGGCCAGTTTGATTGTGCTTACAGACTGCTCTATCACATATGTTAATAATGTATCAAATAACACTGTGCTGTTTTTATTCTGAAAGAGTGGTTACACTTTCACCAAAGTCATGGTTTCCTGTTCTTGCCCTCCAATCCTGGCATCACAGCTTGAAGATGAAGTGTCTGGCCATATGTAAGGATCCGTACATGTTGATGAAAAACAGGAATACAATAGATGAATAATGCTTTACTTTGAAGCCTAAAAGGAGAATCCTAAATGTGAAGCTAAGCGCCTCCCCAAATATCTTCGTAACAGGGTCACAGTATGCCTTTCCTCACAGTCGAAACAATTATTTGATGATAAATTGAGGAATAAAATAAGAAGTCCTTTTTTATGTTACTAATTTTATTTTCTGACGGTTGGAGAGCATGCTTTGTGTCCCTTTCTAGTCATATTTTTGCTTTTCAAACTGTGAGCTTTTGCCAGTGGAATCAGCGGCTACTGCACTCTCCAGCAGTTGCTGTCAGAGACAGATGCCTCACTTAGAAAATGTTTCAGATACTAAGAGCTCTATTCTCAGATCCTGTTACAGTCCCAATCCCAGTTATTATGCACAGTAAGTCAACAAACATGGGGGCGGAGGTACAGGACTGAATACTCGCATGTTTGTTGTTGCTGTGCTAATTATGCATTGCATGTAGACATCCACATAATTGTGGTAAACAGGATTATTTTCATCAAGCATGTCTTTAAACAGTAGACTTAACCCAGAATGGCTTAATTAGTTTGCTTTAGTTTTAAGTGAGTGGGATTAGCACTGAAGAGAGGTGTATCACTGGCTAACAGTGGTGGCCTACCTACAGAATAATGTATTAAAGCCATTGAAAAAGCGTGTGGTGATTATCTAATGGATTCTTTGATCAGAAAAGTCTGTTATTCAGTGTTCTATTAAGGAGAACTCCCTATGACAGTCTCTTTTGTTATGTTTGTGTTATGATGCTAATTCATATTCATAAAGATGTCCCCTGGGGCACGGTTCTGGTCAACAGTGAAAGAGTAGACTATACTGAGTTTGACTTTTTAAAAATTAGGTTAATTTTGAAAATCAGACATTTCTATGAGGTACATATGATAATATTTGATTAGCCAAGATATCCCATTCTCTGAGAATGCTGGATGGTAGCAAGTTTACTGAATTACAGCATTACTCTTAAATACCTTATTCACCATAATTTTGTGCCACTTCAAGGAGATAAATTCGTGAAATAATTTGTAAATTATAAAAAAGTTTAAGACATCTTTTTTAATGCAAATTGCCCCCATCCTTCTTGCCTTGGATCTATCTTTAGATCTCACCGCCTTACCTGGCATTAATGTATCACTAGGAGTTACTACTCTGACAATATTATTTCTTTACCTTAAGTTTTCTAAAAGTAGAACTCATGATTCTCTCCCCTACTCTTTGCCAAGTGGCAGTTCTCCTCTTCCCCCATAGAAGTTTCTTTGAGGGAGGATGGACTATTTGTAATTCCCTGTCACCTGGAGCCTATAAACCACACACATTCTTATAAAAAAGAGAAAAAGAAAGCTCCTAGCTCAACGTGCCAGACATTTGGGTCTTTGGTGGTGCTTGTTGCTGAAGTTCAGACTAGTTCGATTATTGAAGTTAGTACCCTGTAAAACACATGGTGCCAACCTCACAATCAAGGCATATAAGAAACAATTAAGATGAACACAAAAAGCCTGCATTTTGTGTACTGAAAAACACAAGCACTGGTACCAGGGGTTGTCAAGAAACCAAGAAACACTGTGTTTGGTTCTATTGTGGAACAGAACCAGAAAGAAGCTCAGTGTGCGTTATTTTTTGATGAAATGGAATGTGACCCAAGTTGTAAGACTTAGTGATTTGGCCTTCTGCTAAGTTAGCCCACAGGTAGAAAGCAAGTCTCTGGTTTGGGGGAGTTTCAAAGCCCTATTCTGTTTTCTGAGTTGAACAATTTTCAAGCCAGTTTTTAATGTCTCAGTATTGACTGACCTCTTTTTTCCAAACCTACTTCCACTTAAGTTTTAAAGCTAGGTATTTTGTAGATAAAAATATGTATAGTCCATTTCTCATAGTCACAAAAGGTTTTGAGGTTTAGGAAATGAAACCTTTTGAGTCACCCATGTCACTTAAAAAGTCACTCTAAGTGACAGTGGTGATTTCTGAAGAATAGATTGATACAAGTCAAAATTCTCTTCTCAATTTCGGTTGGCTGTAAATCAAAGAACTTAAATCAACTTTTAAAACATTATATTATGGGTCTTTTTCAGACATCTTCAGTTTTCCAAAATACCCAGAAGTTTTTGAATAGTTAATTTTGCCTGACAATTAGATTAGTCAGTATTATGAACATTTAACTAGCATGGGGCCTAAGATTGTTAAATGATCACAGTGGTTTGAAGTAGAAAAAGAGTATTGGTTTCAGACTTGGGAAATCTAAGTGCTAGATCCAGCCCTATCAATGACTTATTGTGGGACCTGTCCCCAGACCCTGAGGCTCACTGAGTTTCAATTCTCTTTTCTATAAAGTGAAGGAATTATATGTACCACAGTTTCTCAGTTAATTTCTGATTCTCAAATTTTATGTTTCTAATATAAAGAGATAACTAAAATAGTCTTGGTATTTTATTAGCTGAGCTCTTCGTCATTTCAGTTGAGAGTCATGCAGAAACCTTTCTTTCCTCCACAATTGCCCTTGTATTGAAAGTTTACTCATATATTAGCTGAAGCCACCACATCCATCAGTAAATGGAGAAAAAAGTTGGGGATTCAAGGGTTAGAACATGGAAAATGGATTCCTTCAGTAATCAGGTATGATGAGAGAGTAGCTTACTACAGTCAAGAATTTGAGGAACTAATGCCATTATCCAAATAAAAAGCTAGAAAATATTGTGAAAGATACATTCATCAATAAAAGATATCCTTGAAAGGTACGTATGTATATACGAACACACACATAAGTTTTCCTTGAATTAAATCAAGCCATTGAGAAAAATTACAGTGTCCTTGCTATTGAAACAATGTAGTAGTTTTACAACTTATTTTAGTAGTGATGACCTTATGTTTTTCAAATATCTGTTTACAAATGATAGAGATGGTAAGTTTTAAAAAATTATCAATACAAATGATATGGGAATAGTTGTTGTGGTACTTTTTTCAAATGTAAAGTGGCTATGGTTCTATTTTCTGTATCTTGTCAGTATCGGTCACACCTCACGGTGTGACTCTTCTACACATAGAAGCATATCAGCAATGTTAAAGAAACAAACCAGATTTTAATGATAAAATAAGCCATTAAAGTGTTACATGTGATGTGATAGTCCTTTTAATGTATTTAATGAATTTTCACAATAAATGAAAAGCAAAAAGAGATACTTCTAGGGAAAAAAATTGTATGCCTGATTAAAATATGAGCCTTATTTAAGTCTTTCGCAAACCAGTTGATTAGGCAGCTGACAGCAAAATAATATAATCTCCTAATCTTGTTACGTCAGTTTCTTCCCTGACAACGGATTACTTTTCTATAACTTTAAGCAGTTAGGGAAAAACTTCCCTAAACAAAATAACATAACCTCTGTTATATGAGATTTGTAACCATTTGATTTTATAAGCACCTTTTTGTTTTGTTTTGTTTTATTTTATAGGCCAAAGAAGAAACAAGGGTTACCATTTTTAGCCACTAGAGTTCTTAGAATCCTTCAGGTAGTTGGCAGGCAGGGAGGGAGCGGGATCAAGGCAAGTCTTTAGTGAGTTCAGACATGACAGAGGCTGGGAAGGTTTTTAGCCTTGGTGGACAAAAGCTGCCTTTGACTCTGGCATGAAGTCTGGCAAGTTACACCAGACCTGAGGTTCTTATTTCCTCTGATCAAAAGATTATGGTTCTCCTGCCTTCCACTCCCTCCACTGCCTCCCAAGTGTGTGGCACAGTTGAGAAGGACCATTTCAAAGAAATAATGGGCATCTCTTATGAAAGACTTGTTGATGTATTAAATCCTTATATATCACTGAGAAATACGTCCCCCAGTGTTCTGTACAGACACTTGACTAGTAATGGAGATGGAAAACCAGAGCTCTCACTCTGTAACATACTTCTCGGAGGAGCCAGAGCAGGGAAACATGGATCTTTCTCTGTCTTCTTGAAAGCCAGTATCAGTTTCAGCAGGAGTACAGACTTATAGCATCTCTTGTTTCCCTCAGTGTCTTCTGGGCCCTGAATAATACATTAACTGTCCCCTGTGTTAGGAATGTGGAGTTAAGATGCCGACCCTTGCTTGCCTCTCTGTATGATTATAACTTTCCTTTCATACTGAAGTCAAGATGTGCTCAGTGCAGCCCTTCTTTGGGTTGGCCCCTGGAGAGCATTATGTGCCTCCTTTGACAGCTACGACGCCACGGACATCAGGTATGCAGCCAGGGTCACCCTCTGAAGGATCAGTCACACATTTTTCAGTGCCGCTGTGATTTCAGTTTAGTAGCTTGTGGCTGCCATTTAAAGATATTCTTCTAAGGTGAGTTTAATATATCAATTCTTTTCTCCACCCAGTCAACACACATCAGTCTTAATCGCCGATATGCAGGTACCTTCCCACTGATGAATTCCATAGTCACCTCTTCCAGAAGTGTTCTTGTACTGTTCTTCTGAAACAAAAGCTAGCATTTACACCATCAGTAGCATCTTCTTAAATGATCCAACACTGTCTTGTTGAAAATGTGCGCATTTAAAAAATATTAATATATAGCAAATTCATTTTGTTTCATAATTCCATTCAAATTCTAGTAATGTTTTCATGGTTTGATTTTTATATTCTTTTGTATATTGTATTAAGACATTAACCTTTTTGTTTTTGTTTTGTTTTCACTTTAGGGGACACTTAACAAATCCACTAGTTCAAGAAGCTTAAAATCCCTTGACCCTGAAAACAGTGAAACTGAGTTAGAAAGGATTTTGCGTCGCAGAAAGGTGACAGCAGAAGCAGATAGCAGTAGTAAGCCGGTTTGAATTCTCCACAGTCCTTCTCTTCATCTCTGAAACATCTTCTTCTAAGTCTCTTTTAACATGAAACAAGCTTTTAAAAATTATTATTAAAATATTTATTTTTAATATGAGTGAGAAGTATGGGATGGGTAAAGATATTTATGGATATCTCATAAGAGCTCTTAGATATTTTTATTTATTGGTATGTTTATTTATTTGTAGGTAACCAGGCATTTATAGATCTGCTTTGTTTAATGCAAGATGCCCTTGTGTAAAGACATTCAGGAAGAGTTTTGGCAACAATATAGCATCAAATACAGGCTCTGGAGCCAGACCGCCCAAGTTGGAGTCCTAGTTCTCTTGTATACTAGCTGGTTGCCCTTAAGCAAATTACTCAACCTCTTTGTGCCTCAGTTTCTTCATCTATAAAATGAGAATAATAAAAGCTCTGCTTCATAGGATTATTCTAAAGATTAGGTCAGTATGTGAAAAATGCTTAGCAATGTGCATGGCACGAAATAAGCACACAATAATTAGTAGTTGCAGTAGAAATTACACATCAGTTACAAATGCAAGAAAATCATCCTTACTCTTTGTATCCCTTTAGCTTAATGTGCCTACTTGTGAACTGAGTGACTGGGAAATTCCAGCTCTGTCACCAACGATAATGTACCTACCATCTGAGCAAATCTCGAGCTCACAGTTTGTATTTGTGTGACATTAGGTCTGTATTAGGCCTCAAAATATTTCCCAGAACTGTGCGTGTCTTCAGTGGTTTCATCAGCTCGGTCATGGGAATTAATGGAAACCTTTATGCGATTTCCCCTTGTGGCCAGGTAGGAGGCCGACTTCAAAAAACTACCTTAAAGTAAAATTAATCAGCAACCACGGCTAATGGGCTGAGGCTTCTAGATTGAGTTTAGTCAGCTTCAAGTAGTCTATCATAACAGTTTAAATCTGGAAAATACTGAGTCACATTGACGAAATTTAAGTAGCTAGAATATTAAAGATGGGTTTTTGAACATCAAGTTCTAATGTTCAGAGAGAGATTTACTCAGACAATTGAGTAAATTGATTCCTGAAACCCAGAGTGGCTTAATACCAACCAAACTTCTGTTATAAAAAGAGGAAACTTTTGTTTTCTTTAAAAAAAAAAATCAACCATTCAGTTTTTAGGTTGGTTTGGAGGTTCTATTATTAAAATCTGACAAAGATTCTCCCCCCTACTGTGCCCCCCAAAACAACTACCTCAGGAAAATTAAGGGGGGTGCCACAGCATTTTTTTTCTTAGGATGGCTTTGCGAGCATTATGCAGCCTCCACGTAACATATAATCGTTATTCATTTTGTGACTTAATCAGTGCTTGAGTCATCCTTTTCATCATTTCAGCTTTAAAGTGCTCATGTAAACATTGCTATTTTTAAGGACTTTGTTGATGTGCCATTTTAGTGCTCTGTCGTTCACATTTTGTGTTTTGCCACTGGCTTTTTTGTTCCTCCAGAAACATTCTTACTTCACTCACAAATTTGGTCAAAATGTGCAACGCTCACATTTCAGAGTTAGTTTTCAATGGAAGAAGTGAGCAAAGGTTTTTATTTCAGCTAATATGGAAATTTGAATATTTCAGAGTACAGAAAGGAACACATTTCGTGTACATGGTGGGAATCTTTCATTTTATGTATTATATTCCACGAATATACAAATACTTGTATTATTTTAGGGCAGTTAGAATAGAAAATACCTATTCAGTAGAACCGTTAATAAATGAATAGAAAAATGAGAACTCATTGGTGAGGTAGAGAGCAAATACACGCTAAGAGAGTGACTTGTAATTGAGTAAAAATTTCCTTTGAGTTTCCTAATAGCCAAAGCAAAAGACAAAAAAAAGGAAGGAAACAAACTTACAAACTCTTATCATCTAAAAAAGAAATCATACCATTTTTTAGGTGGTGAAAACATTTTTCTATTATCAAACTAGAGGTGGCTTTTACCATGTGAGTATTTTTACACAGGCTGTGGAGCGACAAATAAAAATTCCAGGGGGGAACCTAAGGAAGAAAGTAAAGCCGCAGAGCTGCATGGGGGGAGTCAGGTGACAGAGGTGAGGAGTTGGATAGGTTGGTGTCTCAGGTACTTGAATCTCTGGGGTGGTTTTCTTCTGCCCACAAAGGCTTATGGGAAAGTAAATGTGAGGTCACCAGTAGAGAAAGGAAACGTCAGAAGAGAGACAGCCTGAGACTTTGCAGAGCTAAGATCTCAGGTTAATGGTTATCTTCCCCAGGGACAAAGGATGTTGTACCCTTTTCCTTAGGATTTTTCTTATGCATCTAACTGATGCTCCCTTGTTTTACCTAGCCTTGTGGCCTACCAAACTAACATTTCAAAGAGTGGCAAGTGCCTCTTGGAGAACATTGGGCGGCTTAAACAGGATACAGTAATAATAATCTTAAACAGTGTACATTTTTTAAAATGTCTCTTTGTACACAAGAAAAATATAAGAGCTGTAGCTTAGCTCACCACTTTCCTTCCTTTTTGCAGAAAATGTGTTGGTGTATTCAGAAGCAGATCTTTCTTACAAGGACAGATTGTTTAAAGCTACCTAGTGTTATAGTCAACGCTTATCCAAGGGCAGAATAGAGCTGATCAGAAGCAAATCTTGAATTCAACTTCATATTTATATTTTCAGGAACTCTAATATTAATTGAACTTTGTGTTCTGCCATTCTCTCTTAACTGCCACAGCTCCATGCAACATGAGGCTTGACATAGCTGGGAGGAAAAGGCCTTTTTTTTTTCTTTTTTTTTCCCTCTGAGACGAAGTCTCTCTGTCACCCAGGCTGGAGTGCAGTGGCGTGATCTCGGCTCACTGCAACCTCTGCCTCCCGAGTTCAAGCGATTCTTTTGCCTCAGCCTTCCATGTAGCTGGGATTATAGGCGCCCACCATCACACCCAGCTGATTTTTGTATTTTTAGTAGAGACAGGGTTTCACCATGTTGGCCAGGTTGGTCTCTGACTCCTGACTTCAGGCGATCTGCCCGCCTCAGCCTCCCAAAGTGCTGGGATTGCAGCATGAACCACCACGCCCAGCCGGAAAAGGCCTTTTAAATCAAAATATCCAATAATTTCCAAACTTGTCTGCCTAGAGAGTATAGATGAATTAAATAGGGAAGATAGAAACTAATGCTTTGTGAACTGGGGCTTCCACTAGAACAGAGAGGTCCTGTGTCACCTGCATAGAGCAAGGCTCAGAGAGGTGTCCAACAGAATGGGTTCACAAGTTTTTAGTCTCTCTTAGGTAGGTTTTTCAAATTAGACCTTCATTTTTAGAGTTGATATGTTACACTGTTATATTGAGTACATCAGGCACATTAAATCCAAATGTAAGAATAGCATTCCAGAGCTTAATACCAATAGTCAGGGATTAGCTAGCATTTTGGATTATACCCACTAGTACTTTCCATCTTAAGATGATCTGACATTTGTTAGGGATAGACACCCAAGAAACACCCAAGTTTTGTGCTTTTCTTGCTGGCACATTTCAAGGTTATCCTCTCACTTTATTTCTAGAAATAGTCATTTAATTTGCATATTTGTGACTTATTTCATAAATCTCTTTGTTTTAAAAGCATTTTCCTTCTGAAGTTTCAAGAAGTACTTACTAGAATCATGCTTTGAAGAAAACTGACTAGGATAGAATCTTTCCACCTAAAATTAGGGACTGGCTTCAATGCCCAGAATTTTTAGATTGATATGCCAGTAATTCCAGTAACATGTTTTATTACTGTTTTTAAATCCTGTCCTAAAGAGCAGAAAAGTCCAAAAGGTAAATAGCCAAACTCTTTCCCACTTAATTTTTATAATTTTGTGTCTGTGTTTTAAGAGGAAATAAATCCACTTACTTCTCATTCACATTAAAATGAAAATGTTCATAAAAGCTGTTTAATGCTCAAGAAGCCTTCATGAGCCTTTTAGAAAGAGCCTTTTGACATTGTTCCGTTTTCTGTTTAAAATGCAGAGCTGAGTTTTGGGAAGAATTAACTCTTGAGAGGCGAAACGGTTCAAGTAGGGCTGTCAGAAAGCCATACTCTGTAAGAGGAAAAGACTTTTCACAATTCCACTATTACTAAGGAACCTGGTCAGTGAGGGAATTGTGGCCTGGGATTTTGTGTTTTCTTAAAGGTCTGTGCGCAATTTCTCAGCGTGGTCCTGATAGATTGAAACGTAGTAGTACCACCAAAGCAGAGCAGATTTCCAACAAGAACCTTTTCCAGCATGCTCTTGAAATTTTAACAAACGTGGCCTTTTCACTTCTTGAGGGATTTTCAGCTAATCTGTTTTTCAGTACCATATTAATAAGCATCATACAGAATTATTAAACTTGAGGTATGTGTTTGGTTTTAAGGTCCAACTGGGATATTAGCAACCTCAGAGTCCAAATCCATGCCAGTGTTGGGTTCTGTATCCAGTGTAACAAAAACAGCCTTGAACAAGAAAACTCTGGAGGCAGAATTCAACAGCCCGTCCCCCCCAACACCTGAGCCAGGTGAAGGGCCCCGTAAATTGGAAGGATGCACAAGTTCCAAGGTTACGTTTCAGTAAGTAACGATGCTCTTTACTAAGTGGTGTATAGAAGAATCTGTAATAACTAACGTGTGTGTTTCTTTGATTTGTTTCTCTTTAGAGAGATTTTGATTTGGCTCGCCAATAAATTCTCTTCTTTTCATTTGATGGGCCAGCTTTTCATTCTAGGCTCCTAGCTAAGAGATCTCATTCAGATCTAAAGCAAGTACCATGTACAAAGAGAATTACTTCCCCTAAACTGGTTTGGTAATCAGGTTCTTCTACACAAAGAATTGATCTGGATGATACAGACTCTGCATCAGGAGACACTTAATCAGTCTTCCAAGATTAAATACATAGATCATCCCTCTTAATGGTTCATGAGCAGCCCAAGAAGATACTAGATCTTTCAGAGGCTACTTAGAAGGGCACGTTTTTACAACCTTCTTTTCTAGTCTTCAGTTAAAGATGTGCCTAATATTGCTCTATCCTGAAAATGAAAACATACGATGTAAAGAGTTATCTGTATAGACTTGCTTCAGAGTGGCACTTTGATTGTCAAAGAGTTAATCCTGCTATTGAATGTGTTTCAGACAGATCTAGTGGAGGATCAATTTGTTTTATAACAATGGCAGCTCTTTCTGAAATTAGTCTACAGTTTTGCTTTAGTTCTCTTGCCAGGATGTCAGCTAGTTTGTCACTTAAAGAAAAGGAAGAGGTGAGACAAATCAGATCAGCCAAATATTGTAATCATGGTTAATTAAACCTCTGATTTCCTGTCCTATCAAGAGAGAAAGAACCCCTTTTTTGTAACTCTAGCTGTCTTAGCTTAAAAGGTGAAACCTGGACAAATGAAGTTGAAATTCAATTTGGATCTATTTTTGCCCACTGGTATTTTCTTCCTGTCTTACATTCTCTCATTGCTACTATTAACTGTTTTTTCTCTTCTGGAATGAATGGCCTTCTTTGCTGATTTACAGTTTTATCTAATTTCACTGTGTTTAAAAGCACATTTTCTGCTGTAGTCATGTGTTTCCTTTCTTTTGACTAGAGTCATTTGAACAGTTCTAACAGAAAGATGATCTATATTCATTCTTCATCTTTCCTATTAAATTTGTTTAACACCTAATTTGACATCAACAATCTGGCTACATTTGAACCAATATCCCGACACAAAAGCAATTTGGCTGAGACAAGTTAGTTTCTGATAAACGCTTCAGTGTGTGTGTATAGATTTTTTTCCTTTACCATTTTACACAGATAATCTGAATCAGAAAATACTGCAACTCCTTCTTCCTTTTGTCTGCCTTTTGTTCTCCAAAAGTAAGTGGAAATTACATTTCCAAGAAAGGAAATGAAATAATTGCAGGCCCAAGGTCTGCAAAATGTGTGTTGAATTGACAGTGAAAAGGATCCATGTGTTGACAGACACAGTTGTTAGATGCCATAAAGGCGGATGTGAAGCTCAATTTATTTCTCATCTTGCTTGTTCAATGACTGCTTAAGAGACACATTCCAATTTAATTTATCTACTTAAAGCTCTAATACAAATACTGTGGACTGCTGTATTAACTTTTAAACTTTGTAACCTAATGCTTGATTATTTGGTTCTTGACATTCTTTAGCTAAATAAAATAACTGATGCTGTGTATTTTCATATTGACAGTAATTTATCAAATAAGAGCACCTTTCTGGAAAAATCTGTTTCTTAAGTATAATTAGACTATCCAGATTGAATCTGAGAATTCTGTGTATGTATAGGGTAATTATTTACCCAGACAGGCACACTTCATTCGTTTATGTTTAAACCTTTTAATGACTAAAAGAAGTTTAATTTAATGTAGTTACATGTAAGCTTTAACAGTCTGTATCATTTGTCAGAATCCCCTGAAACTGGCCTAGCTTCCAGGGATGAGAAGGGTTATTTTCAGTGCTGTTTCTGGCTGGCTTTGACTAATAAGTACTCTATTGTACTAACCACATTGTCTTACTTTATAGATTTGGCCTGTCAAAGCACTTTGAAGTCGGGTCAGCAATTAATAAGTAAAATATTTCCTTTGCTTCTAAAAACTGTCTTTGCATTCTAGTAGTTACACTTCTGTTTCGATCTGTGGCAACACCACCGTTAGTGTTTCAGGTGAGTGGCGCTATTGGCTTTTGACCTGAATCAAGGTCAAGGGAGGATGCCAATGACACTCGGCTCTAATACAGACATTACTGCCCCAACATATGTATGCATGTGCGCGCGCTCTCTCTCTCTCACACACACACACACCAGCCCCAGCCACTGTAACTTCCCTTCCCCCTCCTCTTTGGCCTCTTTGTCCCAGTACCACTTCACTCTAGGCCCTTTGCTGCCTGTCGTGGTCTTCTCTAAGAGCTGCATGCCTTACTCCCTCGCCTCCGTGGATGTGTTGCTCAAATGTTATCTTCTTAATGAGGCCTACCCTGGCCACCTTATTCAAAATTGTAACTCCTCTTCCCTTAAGCTCTGATTCCCCCTTATCCTATGTCATTTCTCCCTAGAGCAGTTATCACCTTCTAACTTACTATATACTTTATTTATTATATTTATTGTTTTATTTTTTCTCTCCCCCACTGGAATGTAAGCTCCATGAGGGTAAGAATTTTTTCCTGTTTTGTCTATTGGTGTGTCTTACACACATGGAACGATTCCTGCCATATGGTAGGCTTTCAATAAATTCTTTTTGAATAAATGAATGAATGAGCACATTTTCAGTATGAATAAAACAGTAGAATATCAACTACAATACTCAATCAGCATTCTCCCATTATTCGACAGTCACATAGGCACATGAGCTTGATATTAGAGGTTTTTGTTGGTTGGTTGTTTGATTGAATTATTTGGTTTTAACACATTTTTTTAAATGCCTGGAAACCGTTTATATTCAGCTCAGTCTTGCATATCTTTTTTGCCATTGTACCTACTCCAAATTAAGTTACCAGAGACAACAGAATACCCAGTTGTAAAAGAAAGATTCAGCTGTGCTCACTTGATTGGCCTCAGATGGGACAGGAAAGTTTTGAAAACTGCCAAGAAATGTTTTAAGTGTGTAAAGGTAGAGACAAAGATGTTTTCTGCGTAAGATCTTCACTTAACCAGAAAATTAAATAACCTCACACTATACCTAGAAAGTTTTTTTTCTTTTAATAAATTCCTAAAATCAACATATGTATAGATTCCATATAATTGAGTAACTCCTCTCTGGTAAATTATAAAGTCAAAGATATACTGATTTATTTCCTAGGGTCCTATAAGAAGGCAAGAAACACTTTTAATGCTTAATTATAAGGATTAATTAAAATAAATGTTCTTGTCACCAAGATACGCAAAGCAAGGGTTTTTTTTGTTTTGTTTTTAAGAAAAAAGAAGAAAAAGAAAGGAAAAGATAATCAGGGCTTGGGAAAGCCTAATTTATTCTGCTTCTATTTTAATAATAGCTTCAAAATGTGTCCTGTTAATTATTTCTAATAAGTATATACCATCTAATCCTAGTATCTTAAATCTCACAGTGAATGTGAATGTTATGAATTCCAATTGGTTATAATTTAGATCAGAATTATGCTCATCATGTCCCTTTATGCTATAAGAGGTAAAGGGCTGGCCAGGCACATTAAGTGCAAACCTCATTTTTGCTTTCATGCTCTTTCTGTTGATTAAGATTAAATCTGATAATGTTAAAATATAGTAAGATATTTTATTCACTGATTCAGGCCAATGAATGGGTGGGAATCAAAGAGAGAAAATTCTAAATTATAGAATTTTTTTTTTTTTTTTTTTTTTTTTAGATGTAGTCTTGCTGTCTCCCAGGCTGGAGTACAATGGCATGATCTCGGCTCACTGCAACCTCAGCCACCCGAGTTCAAGCGATTCTCCTGCTCAGCCTTCCAAGTAGCTGGGATTACAGGCACCCGCCACCATGTCCAGCTAATTTTTGTAGTTTTGGTAGAGACAGGGTTTTACCATGTTGGTCAGGCTGATCTCGAACTCCTGACCTCAGGTGATCCACCCCCCCTCGACCTCCCAAAGTGCTGGGATTACAGGTGTGAGCCACCACACCTGGCCTAAATTATAGAATTTTTAAAAGAAACTCTTTTACTTTCAGACAGCTATAATACCTGGCAATAGAGTAATTAAGTGTTGCGGCAGGGTCAGAAAAACAATGATTTGTATTTAATCAATAAAAGCCTGTAGACAGAACAGGCAGTAACAAGGAAACAATGTAATTCATTTTCTAAGCCAGTGCCTGTCCACATATGCACAGGGTGGAGAGCAGCCTCCAGTTATTTCCAAGACTCGAACTCTAAAATCAGACAGAGTAGGGTTCAGATCCTGGGTCTGCTGTTTAGATATTTGTGACCCTGGGAAAGTTATATAATCTATGACTGAATTTCCTGGTGTGCAAATTGACGGTAGTAATGCCTGCCCTGTAGGATTGTCAAATAAATTAGATCATATAGGAAAAGCATTCCAATAAATTACTTTCCTATCTTATCTTACAATTATAATGCTGGGATAATGGATATCAAGGACCAAAGCTAAGACACTAGACCCCCTGGGTTTTTGACTAGGCCAGGTGACTTGTACAAGTCGTTTAACCTCTCTGTGTTTTGTTTTCTTTTTGTTGTGTTCCTTCTAATCTAAAATCGAGGCAAGTAGGTTATGTACTGTACAGAGTCCCTTTCAGCTTTCGAATCCCAGTAATTCCTAGCAAATGTGTTCACTTGGTAAAGCTGTTCACAGTTAGAATAAGGAGTAAGAGGCACATATTTCCTAGTTACGTGTCTCTCATTGTAGTTTTTATAGAAAAACACAAACCCAGAAATGTAAAATAATTAATTTTTAAAATACATCCTCAGAACTGACAAGTCCAAATCAAAATGACTGACTGTTATCTTTTAGAGTAGTACTCTCAGGAGTCAGCCCTGCACTATTGCCCCAAGTGCTTTTAGAGGTTAGAAGTACCTGATCACAGGCCAGGCATAGTGGCTTACGGCTATAATCCCAGCACTTTGGGAAGTTAAGGCAGGCAGATCACTTGAGGTCAGGAGTTTGAGACCAGCTGGGCCAACATGGCAAAACCCTGTCTCTACTAAAAATACAAAAATTAGCCGAGTGTGGCGGCGGGCGCCTGTAGTCCCAGCTACTCGGGAGGCTGAGGTGGGAGAATGGCGTGAACCCGGGAGGCAGAGCTTGCAGTGAGCTGAGATCGCGCCACTGCACTCCAGCCTGGGCGACAGGGCGAGACTCCATCTCAAAAAAAGAAAAAGAAAAAGAAAAAGAAAATCCAGTATACGTCAGTGTGGGTCAGATTGCTTGCCATTTTAATCCTATGTGAGATATCTGAAACATGTTAACTCTTATCAACAGAATGCCTAAGTCTGATGTTCTTGGTTGATATAGGTATAATAAAGGAAAAAGCATGTTGGGGGGAAATGCCAAGAAACTTCCATTCTGTGTGTGTGTGTTTTAAGTTAATACTTCTATTACTCTTTATCAGTATATATGCATAATAAAATAATATCCATCTAAGAGGAAATGTGCTAAAATTATAGTAGGCAGGATGTATATGTTAGTTATAGATGGAGGCTATCAGTAATGGAACCAGCTTCCAGTTTGGGGATGGAGGGTTTTGGAATTTGCTTTTGTGTTGTTGTCACTGTATTTCACTAACATATATTAAGCCAGGTGCTTTTGTGTATTATTTTAATTCTCCCAAACTTATAGATTGGACATTATCCCCATTTTACAGATGAGAAAACTGAGGCTCCGTGAGGTAAACAACTTGCCCAAAATTACACTTCTAGTTGACATTTAGTTCAAATTGCACTTGAACCTTTTAAACTTTATCTCCAAAGCCAGTGCTTTTTGAACTATGGTGTACTGCATTTAGTGTCTTAAGAGCTTAAGGAAGGGGAAAGAAAAGAATGACCGTAAGATTCCTTCTATAGGAGGTGATGATTCTGCAGTTAAGTTGCTTCATTGACCCTAAGATACTGACATCCCGTTCCTTAGACCCTACATACTTATAGAGATTTTCATGTCTTCCTTTTCTCATTCTCTAAGGCTAACCTAAGCAATTTAAAGATCACTTATCAAGGGAGGAAAGTAAAACAGAGTTCTGAAAAGGAGAGCCTATCTGATTTAGCAAAAAGTCTTAAAGAATAATTGGAAAGAAATTATTTCAATCTTTTTCATGCCAAATGTCCAATAAAGGGCCATGCTTCAAAATAAATTTTAGAAATTAGCCTGTCAGAATACCAGCCTTAAGCTACTTTAGTCTTCAGCATAAGTTCCATTTGCACATTTTTTTATTTTATTGAACATTTTAACCATGCTGAGAAGTAGTTTTTTCCCAGAAGTCAGATACCTTGAAAATTTCTGACCGTAATCATTGAATTAGAAAGATGCTTTTACTAAATGATAGTATGATAATATAAAGGTAAATCACTATCTGTGAATCTAGTTTAAAAATATACATTCTAAAGCCCCAAATACATTTTATTATTGTATCCACTTTATTCTATACCTTTTTGAGAGAGCTTCATGTTTGGTCAATTACTGGTTAACTCCTTTGAGTTTGTGTTTATCCATTGGTCATTATGTTTTAGGACATTTTTATTATAAAGACAGCCAGGACATGTGGGCCTTCAGTATGGAGAAGGAGGTGAGCAGATCTTAAAATGTGTCTGCATCACAGTCAGGCAGAGGCTTAAGAGTATCATGTTTTCTTGCCATCTTGCTTTTCTCCTGAAACCATCTTATCTGAAAGTGGCCCTGCTTGTCTGAATTAAGCTTTTTCATCCACTTTTTCAATTAATTACTTTCAGGAAGGTGGATATCCTACTAACAGTTGGAATTAGACAAGGTAGTCAGCCTCAAAGATGATTTTTCATTTTATCTAGTTACTTCTATAAAATCTTACTTCAAAAGGGAGAGCCCCTTTGCAAGGGAACTCCTGTTCCATTTTAACAGTGTGGTTTGCAGTGCTTTCATAGCTGTGTCATCTTGGTCATTCTCAAAGATCCTTTTAAGCCACAATTAATTGCCAAAGACTTTTCAAGTTAACATTTTTCTAATGTATCATGCTTCTCTTCACCCCAGGTCCCCTCAAAACTATAAGCTTTATCAAGGTCTTTTAAATTTCCTTTGTAACTGCCAGACAGGCAGTTAGTTTGCTTTTTCATGTGGGGGCGTCAAAAGAGGTTACATGCTGCCCTAGAAGAATTTAAAAAACAAAAACACATGTAGCAATTATAAGACTTCAATTTCAATAGAAAATTGTTCATTTCCAGTGAAACCATTTTTATTTTAATTTGCATTTAATTTCTATGTCTGTGGTATCTCTAAATACATGTGACTTTTGGCCCCACACAGATTTATTTTTGTAAGAGTTCATCTTGTTTGGGCCATTAACTGATACCAAAGGGTAGTTGATAAAAGATAAATTTTAGATGTCTTTTGGTTGGTGTGACCAGTCAAACATTTCCATGAAAGAAAAAAAATCTAATTGCCTTTCAGGTTTTGAATTAAAAGTAAGATTGATTTTTATCATTGTTTGACCTCTAACTGGTCTCTTCATTCAGTATTTCTAATGTGATACTAATGTAGAAAAATGAAATAGGAAAGTACAGCTTTTTAATTTACTGGAGCTAGATGATCTGAGCTATTTTATTTTATTTTGTTTACTTTCTGTAATCCTATGGAAGAGTATGAGCTTTTGAAATACATTAGCAAATAAAAATTGAGATTCTTAACTTACTTTAGGGAAACTTGGCATAAAATTATTCTCTCAAACTAATTATCTCAGCTGGAAATTAATTTAATTGGCCATATAACCATTCCTTAAGAGAGGTTTGGGGTCACGTTTTGTTCAAATGGAGACTGGGAAAGTTCTTTCAGTCCTGGGATGGAAAACAGTGGATTTTCTTCCTGGTTGATACTCCCACCCCCACCGTTTCCTCATAACCTCCGCTTCTCCGCTTTCTTTCTTTCTCTTTTGTGTGTGTGCGTGCGTTTGTGCGTGTATGTGTGTGTGTGCGCGCGTGTATGCATGTGCACATCAGCGCCCATCAGGGAGGGGGAGGGAGGGCGCCTTCCCTGTACTTAGTAAACATTTGTTTCTGAGAAGAGACTACCAGCTAGCAGAATGAACTGCATGGATGTTACTGCTTAATCTGATGCTCTTATACAATTAAAGGATTTGCTCTGCTCTCAACTGTAATCTTAGTACTGCTGAATTGTGTACTGACACTGCAGGAAACAGCTCTGTTCAGCAAAGCGCGGCTACAAAGGTTCTCCATGTGCGCCTGTACATGGACAATTAAGTTTTAACAACAAAATTAGCAGAACA